TAGATACTCCCGGCTGAAAGCTGGCCCCAGACTCTTGGGCACAAGTCCACAGAAGAGTGATTGGCAAGTTGCTCTCTGAGCCTGCCAGCCTCTCTCTCTAGAGGGTTTCCGAGGGCACCTTGCTGTGGAGCCTTTCGGCTGAATGCTTAGCTGGCTCAAAGCCATCTCACCAAGGCACTTCCTGTGCCCAAAGCAGTCACCAAAGAGTTTTGGGCTGAGGGACAGCAGGAGCCGCATGGCCTCCCACCTCTCTGGCCCTGTCCCTCTGCTCTATGCTGCTGAGCCACTTGCCACGGCGCTGGAGTCTCCATCTCATGTTACAAAGCATTTTTCTGCTCTGTTCCTAGCACAGTGGTAGACATTATATAAACTCTTCCTCTCCTATTTGAAGTCAATCTCCCAAGTCCTCAGGAGATTGCCTGGGGCCGAGTCACTTCTTTAACAAGGATTTATCGAATTCATACTGTAGGCTTCACCAACAGCCACCCTGAAATTAGTTACATAATAAGATACACACCATAACCTTTATGTAGGACTCTTGCCAAGAACGTTTTTCCAGAATTTAATCTTGAGAAAATAATCAGACAATCCAGAATGTCTACAAGACAACTGGCCTGGACTCTTGCAAAAGGAAGTCAACCTTACAGGAAGCAAAAAAGGCAGGGGATTGTCGTAGGCTGGCGCTGTCCAATAGAACGTGTGATAATGGTAATAGTCTGTGTCTGCGCTGTCCCATACAGCAGCCACTAGCCACGTGTTATAACAGCACTTGAAACGTGGCCACTGTGACTGGTGAGCTTTTAAATGTATTTAATTTTAATCAATTTAAGTGAAAATAATCATACATGGCTATTGGCTCCTGTATTGGACACAGCATAGTTCTGCATTTAAAAAGACTGAATAAATAAGACAACCAAATGCAATGCATGAATTTTGATTGTCTTCCAGATCTGGGTGAAGCTGAGATAAAATATTTCAAGGGCTCTAGGTAAATGCAAGTGTAAACTGTTTCTGTTACTGAGCTAAGGTTAATTTTCTTAGGTAGGAATAAAGGTATTTGGGGTTTGTAGGAGAATGTCATTATTAGGAGCCATGTGGTGAAGTATTTAGGGATGCAGTGTGTGCTCCTTGCTTTCAGCAGGCTCAGCCCACACACACGGAATAAAGCAGATGTGGCAGAATATTAGTAATTGAAAGTCAGCTGGAGGACACACTGGTATGCATTCTGCTCTTCCTGTAGCTTTCCTATGGGTTTGAACATTTCAAAGTAAAAAATGAGAAGTCAAAGTCAAACAGAGAAAGGCAGACACCCACAGAAAGTGTGATAGTGACAGAGCACACCTTTCCCCAGCTTCCCAAAACTATGTTCCAACCATGTGCGTGCAGATTAGTTGTGTGGCACTCTGAATGTGCTTTTCCTCTCTCACACTTACAGCCGCCTCCCTGGGAAACTGCAACTTGCTTTTGAAGAAATACACCCCCATCCCCACCAAAGGAATTGTCACTCCTTTCATAGAAACTCTGTGACTTGGAGGGACACCAGGAAAGTGCTAATCTTCCCCCTTTAATCTTCACTAATCACATTTCTGATTTGGAAAACTTAAGTGGTAATTCCTCTCACAGACAACCAAAGGCCAAAGCCAAAATTTTGTATGTGACGTCCTTGTTTATTTTGCAATGTGCTGGTTGCTTATAAGTTAAATAATTATAAATCAGTCACATACATAAGCAGCCACAGATCAAACAGATTGTAAAATGCTACAAGTGATGGATAAGGATCCCGGTAGTAAGGGATTATTCATAAATTTAAGGCAGGCCTTAAAGCAGCATTTCTCAAAATGGAATCTGGCCTAGGAATCCCATTAGTACTTGATAGAAAGGCGGATTCCCCTGGTCTTACCCCAATCCTGTAGAATAAGAGTGTCCATATTTAGCAAGTGCCCCAGATGTTTCTTGTGCACACTAAAGTTTGAGAACTTAAAATGTGGTAAGATTTAGATGCATGAAAAGAAGCCTGAAGGGCATTCTGATAGGGGAAGCACCCTGAGCAAAGCAGTCAGAAATGAAATCGGCCTTTTAATGAGTAGAAGGAACCTCACCTTGCAGGGGGAAAATTCCCATTTGAGATCAGGTGAGATAAAGTTGGTTTCCTAGGGTGGGGCTCAGTGCATAGACATTTTGGACACCAGTTCAAAGAGTATGGCCAGGTTTATGAATAGTTGGTAGACAATGAGGGAACAAAGAATGATGTTTTAGGGAAATCACCCTGGCCAGTTATGCAGGATGAACTGAAGATAAAAGAAAACCAGAATCAGGGAAACCAATAAACAGGTTATTATAAATGGTTCTGGGGTGAGATACTGAAAGCCTGAACTGGGAAAGTGGCACTGATAGGAAGCAGCAAAGACAGGAGGGAGAAATGTTTTTCAAGGAACACTCAGTAGGATGTGGTGACTGACTTTTAGGGAGGGGGTGTAAAGGGATGTGTGTAAAAGAAAATGCGAATAATGCTCAAAGTCTGCAAGAGCAGAAACAAAAAACCAGTAACGTGATTTTTAAAATGGCTAAGGACTTGAATAGACATTTTTCTAAAGAAAATGTACAAATAGCCAACAGTTAGATGAAAAAATGCTGAGCATCACTAATCATCAGGGAAATATAAATCAAAACCACCATGAGCAATCACGGCCCACCTGTCAGGTTGGGTATTATTAAAAACATCAACACATGTTGGCGAGGATGTGGAGAAATTGGAATCTTTGCACACTGTCAGCGGACATGCTAAATTGTCAAGCCACTGTGGAAAACAGTAGGGAGGTGCCTCAAAAAATTAAAAATAGAGCTACCATCTGATCCAGCAATCCCATTTCTGGGTGTTTATCCAAAAGAATTGAGATCAGGATTTGAAGAAATATTAGCACTTCCATGTTCACTGCAGCCAAGATATGGGAACAACTTAAATGCCTGTGGACAGATATGAATAGATAAAGAAAAGTGGTATATGCATACAACGGAATATTGCTCAGCCTTCAAAAAGAAGGAAATTCTACAATAAGCAACAGATGAACCTTAAGGGCATTATGTTACGTGAAATAACCAAATCATGGAAAGACAAGTACTGTGTGGTTCCACCTACAGGAGGAACCTAAAATAGCCAAATTCATAGAATCAGAAAGTGAAACAGGGGTTGCCAAGAACTGGGGGAGTGGGAAATGGGAGTTATTAATCAAGGGGCGTAAGTTAAAGTTACACAAGATGAATAAGTTCTAGAGATCTGTGGTCCAAAACTATACCTATATATAGCACACTTAAAATTTTGTATTGTTTTGTATGGTATTATTGCACACTTAAAATTTTGTTAAGAGGGTAGATCTCATGTTAAGTACTCCTGCCACAATAAAATAAAATTTTTAAAAGTGCTCCAGGTCTGAAGTCTGAATGGAGGGAAGAAACAATGAAGCCAGTAACAGAAATAGGGAAGCCCAGAAAAGGAGTTGTTTCTGTGGTGATGTGGTGAGAGGGAGGCTGTCACAGGACATCCAAGTGGAGGTACCTTTAGGGCAGCTGAACATAGTTGATTGGGGATAAAGATATAAAGTCAAGACTAAAAAGAGATAGCTGAAACAAAGGACAACACACTAAAGAGTTTAAGTAACGATCAACTCAGTCCTGAACCAAGAATGAAGCTTTAGGAAGTACCCGCTGAGGGATGGGAAGAAATTGTAAAGAAAAAGGCATCTCAGAGAAGTTAGAGGACACATCACAAGAACAGTCCCAGAAGCCGAACAAGAAACAAATGTCAAGGAGAGGTCAGCACTGTCTTTTGGGGGTTAGGAAGAGATGCATCATGATAACCCCCAGAAGGAGTTTGGAAACTTATGAAGGTGGTTTCTGTTTTTGTCACAACTTCTGAGATGTTACTGGCATTGTGTGGACGGGGCCTCCACTAGTTGTCATGTAGTACCAACTGTGTCAAAGCCAAAGGGAATTGAGAAAAAAAACATTGAAGAAACCTCCTGAAAGAGGTGTACCGCAGCCTGACCTCTCATACAAACATTTTGAGCTAAATAAGCTGTGAACCATATTGATGTTCTTTCCTCACCGAATGGTAAGTGGCAGACTCTCTATCAAAGAGAACTGGGCAGGGCTGTCTTCTTTCCTATGGGAAAGAAAGCCTGGAAACTGGAGCTTATGTTGCTTGCCATGAAGCACATGTGCCCTTAATTCTTACCTACAGGTCAGGCAAGTCAGAAAAGTTAATAGGTTGAAGAGTTCAAATTATTTGCAAAACTGTAGTTGAATCATTATTCATGAGCAACAGCAACAAGAAATAGAGGATTCCCAGTGTCCTCCAATTAGCTTCCAGCTCAAAGGATATATGAGTGGTGTCACCAGCCTAGGAATTGTGGAAGTGAGAATGGGCAACTCTCGTGTTCTATCTTTACTGAGGTGACTAAATATGACATGTTAAAAACTGATACTTAATGGCAGAGATTTTTTTCTAAGTGGCAGTCTCTTGATCAAGTGCCCCTGAACTTGACTGATATTGGGTCATCTGGGAAATCTAAGAGCTAGCCTTCATCATGTTCAAAAGATCCTATGTTTGTCTATGAAATTGAAGGAATAGTAAATGTACTTCACTTGGAGCATGAGGGATGGGACTTGAGCTTTTATTAGTCGAATAATTTATGGACTCCATAGAATAATTTTTAATTTTAGCTCCACAAAACCTTCAAAGATAATGAGAAAAAAATCTATCTGGGACGGATTTAGGCAGGTGAGGTCATGTAGAACAAATCGTCTCTGAAAGATATTTTCTACTCCAGAATTCTTTTAAAATAAGATTCGGAACAGTTGAAGTAGTTTAAAAACCTTCAAACTGTGCGGATTTTTTTTTTTTTAAATCATAAATAGGGCACAAACTGCATCTCCCAGGAGGCCTCGCGGGCGAGTCTCCGCACTCTGCGGGTTCTTTTCACCGCGAGGGACGCTGGGAAATGCAGTGCCCAAGCAACTGCACGTGACGCGTGCCGGGGAAGGCGACCGGGAACGCGCCGCCTGAGGCTGCACCCGGTCTAAGGCGTCAAAGTGCGAGCCGCCCCTTCTCCCGAATTTGGTTTGTGCAGTGGGGGGGTGGGTGCCCACTTGTTGGCGCCAAAGGGGAAATGAGCCGGCCGTGGGTCCGTCGCCGCCGGGGCCGCCCGGGGAGGTCCTAGTGGGGGAGGCACCACTAGGTGCCTCATCCCGTTTCTTGGCAGCCGGGCCGGGCGGGGTCGGGGAGAAGGTGCGAACAAGCCGGGGCCTCGGCACTCGCGCCCTGCGCCCCACCCAGCCTGCGGCCGCGCGCGGGGAGGAAGCGCGTCTAGGTCGCGTGCCAAGTTTCCTTTTTTGCTTTCTCGTCAGTGCAGCCCCAGCGGGCGGTGGTCTGGCATGCCCAGCATCAGTCTGAAGGGGGTCCGGAGCCAGAAGGGTTAAAATAAGCGACTCGCCCACTTCCCGCCTCCCTGCGACGTCCTTCCCGCCAGCGATGGGCAGCCGCGATCACCTGTTCAAAGTGCTGGTGGTGGGGGACGCCGCAGTGGGCAAGACGTCCCTGGTGCAGCGCTATTCCCAGGACAGCTTCAGCAGACACTACAAGTCCACGGTGGGAGGTGAGACGTCGCTGCGGGCGCGGTGGGCGAGAGGCCGCCACCGCGGTCTTGGGCCGTGGGCCCCACTGGGGCGGGGGAGCGGGGGATTTGGTGTCCGCGGGCCCTTCCTCGGGTCAGGAAGTAGGTGCCTGGGATCTTGGCGGGAGCAGTTTCTGGGTGTTTGATTTGCATGCCTCTGTTGGGTTTCCCCAGTTAGGTTTTCCCAGCCCGAGCTGATGCTGGAAAGAGATAGGGCGAAGGTGTGAAGATGAGATATGGGGCAAGGAGGATGAGAAAATGAGCGACTGCTGCGTTTTGCTGGGGAACTGTGAACCCAGATCTCCTCCTGCCTCCTTCCAAGAGTTCAGGGGCAGATCTCTGCGGTCGGCAGGGGCAGCCGAGACCCTCTGGAGAGCCTGGCGAGGTGTCAGCCTGGGCTGCTGTCCTGCCTCTCGTGGGAGTTCCAGGCAGCCGTTAAAGGAACAGAGTGGTGTTTGACCTGGTCTCAAGGATCCTAGCTTTGTAATGGGTATGTCTGCGTGGGAGAGCCCCTTGGCACACACCACACCGTGATGCCTATCGGGTCTGAAGCGCTGTGGTGTTTCTTTTGTCCACTGATTGCTTCGATAAAGGCAACCTAGAAATTCAAAGAATAGGAAATACACCACTTCTCTGGCCTGTCTTCCCATCCCCTTTTCTCTCAAACTGAGAGGAACATGCCAAGAGTTAATTCACTTCTCTCTGGCCTTTAGATTCAACTGTTTTTTAGAAGTAGAAGTGCCTTTTTTGTTTATTAGGTGTTTAGATGGGATGAGCAGGTGAATGGGGAAAGTAACAAGCATTTATCTCTGTTAAAATAACCCTTTTCAGGAAAAACACTTTCTGTAGTGTAAACTTTGCAAATGGGTTCTGGTGTTCGCTATGGAATTTTTAAAACATTAGCAAGCATTTACACGGCGATTAAAACATCCTTCTTAAGAACATCCACAAAATAAAGGGTTTAAGGTTCAGAGATGGTTTCCTGACCACTCTGCCCTCCACTCCTAAATAATATGAGGGTCCCTATCTCATGGACTTGGCTTAAAAGTGTCCTGCTGGTGAGTTTTTAGCAATTGCCCTAGTTTGCCTTTCATAACGAATATAATTGACTCTGGTTAATTTTTTTTTCAGTGTTTATTCTAAATTAAATTCTAGCTTTCATCTCTGCCACAGAGGTGGAAATATATATGTCCAATCTCTGAAAATTATCTTATTTCTCTCCTTACGAAAAAGCTTTTCCCCTGGCAAAGCTTTCAGCCTTAACTCACTGAGTCTCCCTCAGCATCTGCCCGTGTGGTGGTAGATTCCAGCAGGGCTCCTAGGCATCATGGATGCGGTGTTTTCCTGGGAATCCTCTGCGACCTTTTCTCTTTGTCTCGTTGCTGCCCAAGATAATTCCTACAACCTTATAGAGGATGTAGACTACCTCCAGGGTGTGTTTTCTTATAATACAATTGGGTTTAGAAACTAACAGTGAAATTGAATGTGGAAGATGAAAAAGCCACCACACTTACATTTCTCCCTTCTACCCCACCCTCCTTCCCCAGAGAAAACCCCCTACACCTCCCAGAAACCATTCCATCTGAGATTAGTTGTTTTCATAATGACTTCCACTCTCCTAGCCTTGGAGACGTGTAGTATCAAATAAATTGGCTTGTCAAGAGACTAAAAGCTGGAGACCCCTTCAGAGAGTGAGTACCACTAATCTGCCCCATGCTTACTACATGAGTGCGGGCTATTCTCAGCCCATTGAGGGCTTACAAATAAATAAATACAACTGGAGTTGTGCGTCCCAAGGCTTGTAACTGCATATTTGATTTGAGTTTATCCATAGATTTTTTTTAAAGATAAATTTTATTCAAGAATATTATACATGTATTTCCAGTGGATTTTGCTCTGAAGGTGCTTCAGTGGTCTGACTCAGAGATGGTGCGGCTGCAGCTGTGGGACATTGCAGGTAGGCTGGGAAGGCTGGCTAGGAACAAGGGAAGAAATTGTGATCTAACCAGCAAGCTCTCAGAGAAAAAGTGGGGCAGCAAAACCCCAGATTGAGTTTCTCTGAGGTTATATATGTTGAATAAATATAGAGCTTTAATAGATGTTTTGCCTCAAATAAATGTGGAGCGACCTCTGGGTGGGTAGAGTGGCTGGCAGGGTGGTGGACTGTCCAGACAGTAGGTAGATGCTCCTGCAACCAGAGGGAAGGTGCTTTTTCCAGGTTTTCCACTGACCTTGGTGGGAAACAAGATCCCCAGAAAATAGAGACAATAATAATAAAATAACTAACCTGTATTATGTGCCAAGCTCCTTTCTAAGCACTTAGATTCACTGGTTCATTAATCCTCACAACAGCCCTGTGATGAAAGCTAGTGCTTTTATCCCCACTTCACAGCTGAAAAATCTGAGGCACTGGCAGTTGGACTTGCCTGAAGTCACATAGATAGTAAATGACAGAGCAGGGGTTTGGACCTGGGAAGTCTGGATGCAGAGTCTGTTCACAACAGCCCTGTGATGAAAGCTAGTGCTTTTATCCCCACTTCACAGCTGAAAAATCTGAGGCACTGGCAGTTGGACTTGCCTGAAGTCACATAGATAGTAAATGACAGAGCAGGGGTTTGGACCTGGGAAGTCTGGATGCAGAGTCTGGACTCAAGCACTCTGCATCCTGCCCTCTCTTCCACACTGAAGGCAGAAAAGACAGGGTGTCAAGGGGGATTCTGAGATTGATTCCTGGGGTTACCTTCTCAAGAGCCCTCTCCTTTCTTCCCAGGGCAGGAGCGCTTCACCTCTATGACACGATTGTACTATAGAGATGCGTCAGCCTGTGTTATTATGTTTGATGTTACCAATGCTACAACCTTCAGCAATAGCCAGAGATGGAAACAGGACCTGGACAGCAAGCTCACACTGCCTAATGGAGAGCCTGTACCCTGCCTGCTCTTGGCCAACAAGGTATGTGATCAGTTTAGGAAATTGGCCCCTGGCCTCTCTGTGGTCAGAGAGGAAACATGTAGAATGCTCTGTGATTCTGGGCATCCACTTCGGCTTCTCAAATTGGCAAAATCATCTCTGCCTCCTTTCAAGGGATGTTGAGACTTTCTCTGAGGACAGTGTCGACTAGATTTTAGATGCTGGTGTTCTTAGCCCTTAGTGGGAATGTTTTAAATCCACATTTATCTGGGCAGTGTTCCTATTCCCAGGAAGTTTATGGTGTTGCCTTTTATTTATTCTCTTTGCCAGTGTGATCTATCCCCTTGGGCAGTCAGCCGAGACCAAGTTGACCGGTTCAGTAAAGAGAATGGTTTCACAGGGTGGACAGAAACATCGGTCAAGGAGAACAAAAATATTAATGAAGCCATGAGGTGAGTAGCTGTTCTGGGGATGAGCACACAGATTTACCCGCTTCCACTGCGGCTCCTTGGATCTTCTTCTCCTGTTTCTGAGCAAACAAAGACAGACTGAGCCACTGGAATGCCAGCTTCTGAAGGTCGGAGATGTTGTCCTTTCTCCTGAGATAACTGGGGACGAAGGGGCATTTAACCTTGTGGCTGTACTGAGTGCCATCTGGTGATAAGATGGCCAGTGTCTGATATTTCTCCCTTTCCTCCATCCAGCCTCTGAGGCTAATTTTTGTGTTTGTTTTTTAGAGTCCTCATAGAAAAGATGATGAGCAATTCCAGAGAAGATATGTCTTTGTCCTCTCAAGGAGACTACATCAACTTACAAACTAAGTCCTCCTCCAGCTGGGCCTGCTGCTAGCTGTGTTTGGCTTGTTTACCCTCCCAGTTCTAGGAGGTCTTTCCATCTCTTCCCTTTGGTTGCCTACCCGGTAATTTTATAAAGTTCACTTGAATTGTCTCCTGCCGACTGTCCAGTAAGGAGGCCCACCACCAAGGAAAAACACCCAGGACCCGTGTGCATTTCTGCATCACTTACAAGTTGGCTCTTAGTTGCTGCTGGCTCATGGGGCCCAGTGAGTGCCTTATATGTAAGAAAGATCACCTTATCCCTCAGTATACCATCTGGGATTTTGTGGGAAGAATTAGAAATCAGCATCTACATTTTGAATGATCATAATTCTCATCTACTTTTGAGTTTATTTTCCCAGGTGATGCGTGTTAACACGTCTGATACAACTTCAGATTTCGAGGAAAATGAGGCCAGAGGTCATTTCCCAAATTCCTTGTACATTATCAATGTCAGATTCTTTCTGTCTTGGACTCTGAATTTAAATATATGGTTCTGAGATACAGAAGGAGTGGGGATGGATACCTATAGGTTTAGGGCTACTGGAAGTAACCCAAAGTCAACCTATTTTTTGAAGTTTCTAGAGTCATAATTTAACTTTCTCTTGGCTTCAAGACTAGTCAAGCTTTGAAAGCACAGCCAAATGATGTCACTTGCAGCATTATGCATTAAGACATAAAGAAATTTATTCTCATATTAGGGCTTAGTGTCTCCCTGCCAGTGTGGTGGGGGCAGAATTTTCAGGTTTCTGGGTTAATGTCTAGATGCTGGAGTGACATCAGTTAGCCATTGGCCTGGAATGGGTCTGCCCCTCACAGCTCTGGGAATCTGGATGAAAGAGAGAGTGGGTCATAGAACAAATCCTTTGGGGCAACTTGCTTAGCAGCATCCTGTGCGGCTAGCACTTAACAGCCATAGGAAACAAATATTATGTAGAGACCTTTGCCAGGTGGTAGAAGAGTAGATAGATAGAAAATCATTAGGTAATTTAAGTGCTAAATTGGGTAGGGTTTTTAGTATCAAATCACTTCTAGACAGTTTACTTTGTTAAATGTTCATAGGAGGGTGATTTATAACCTACCCGATGTTATGAATATTCTTAGTGAACTCAGAGGCCTGGAGTTCTTTGAAAGACAACTTACCTAAAAAAGTGTCCTAAGTCAGTGGTTTCCAAATGTGATCAGAACCAACTGAGGAGTTTGTTAAAATTTTTAAAATAGAGGATTTTAAAGTTTCTAGATCCCAACCTCAAAGCTACTGAACCAAAATTTCCAGGGGTGAAGCCTGGGAATTTTTTGTTGTTATTTTTCAAAGCTTCCCAGATGATCCTGATCAGCCTGGTGTGGGAACTGTTGCTGGAGAAAACTTGGTAAAGTTGCAGAGGCCCAGGCCTCCCCTGTTGAATGATCCTGGGCTTCTGTATGCTCTGTGGGGTCTTCGGGTGATTCTGCACACCAGGCTTTGAAAAACACTGTCCTAACAGACCAAAGACCAAGTAGCAGAGAAAGGATGGGAGCCAAGTCTTCAGTGTTCGTTTGGTTTTAATGCCAATTATTATTATAATATTTACAGTCTTTTGAGACCTTGAGTCTCTTTTGTATTACCTTTTTCAGGTAGGGTTTTTATTACAATCATTTTGAAGATAGTGGAGTAAAAAATTACCTTTATGTGAAGAGAAGTTTGATTTATTTGCTGGTTTGAACCCCTGAAAAACCACAATAAATGAAAAATAAGTCTTGTATTCATGGTAGTTTCATGTAAGTTTGTACTTTTATACTGATAGTTCAAGAGTATTGTGGAAATGAAGGCTTAATTTTTTAATACCTTTTTTTTTAATGAAGGTAAATGTTATTCTGTTTATCTGTTAACTTACTAGTATTGACTGCCTAGTACCAAATATTGTTTGGAAATGTGACCAAGATTTTTTTTTTAATTTAAAAAGTGGAATATATTTTCTTTTCCCATTTGCTAACTCAGGATTTACCTACGTTTTCAAGCCTTGCTAAATAGAGGCTGGCCTTCCAGCCCTTCTGATTTTCCTTCTCAATTGGTGAACATTATAGGCCTGAAACTAACTAAAGAAATTAAAATATAACTTCTTTCCATGTTCCTATCCATAAAGAAGAGGGAACATGATTAAGATAAGAAAGAAGAACTTACATGATTAGAAATGTGATTACTAAAAATAATTACATCCTCTCATTTGGATGCTGCCTGTTGGGTGAAATTGTTTGGAGCGTGGTTATTGTTGTAGCCTTTCCCTAAAGAAGTCCCTGTGTTTGCGACAAGATGCCCTTCCAACATCAGGATTTTTCTGTCTGTTGTCCTTTTATAGGGAGTAGACTGCTTTTAACATAATCTAAGGCCATGGTTGGGAGATAAAAAATCTCCATGGTCGTCTATAAAGTCCAGTGATCAGATCACCCCAGAAACAAACCTCAGTGCCTGTTTCCCCTCGACCCGTCATGGTTCACTATGTTTAGGAAGACTCTTCAACTGTGTGACTCATTTATTAAAGTCAGATAATCCCCAAAGCTGCAAAATGAAATAGGTAGGAAGCCACTAGCAAATAATGTGTTGGGAAGAACTACATGTTTTTTTGGTTCAGCCATAAATACCAGACATTTGAAAATATATCTGCATATGGCCTCCATTGTTGTTAGAATTTATTATAAGGAATTGGCTTATGTGATTATGGACATTGGCAAGTCCAAAATTCAAAGAAAGAACTGACATCCTAGTTCAAGTCCCAAGACTGGCAGGCTAGAAAAGCTGATGCAGTTCAAAAGCCATCAGTCAGGAGAATTGTCTCTTACTAAGGAGAGAGTCAACTTTTGGTTTTATTTAGGCCTTCGACTGATTGGATGAGTCCTACCTACCATAGGAAGGGCCATCTGCTTTACTCAGTCTACCAATCTATGTGTTAATCTCACACAAAACACTCTTACAGAACCACCCAGAATAATGTTTGGCCAAAACTCTGGCTACCCCATGGCACAGTTCAATTGCACATAAAATTAACTATGGCATGCCCTTCATTGCTTCATGTGATGTTACTGTTTTGGTGCCTATTCTTTACACTCTAATTTGATTCACACTCAAAAGTCCATTAGAATAGGAGCTAAGTGAATGGTAATGGTAATAAAGAGGAGAAAGCAGATAGGAAAAAGAAGGAGATAAGGTCATTTTATGATTTACCATGATAAGAGAAGGGCAGCCCAGTACTACAGGACACCCACAGAGACCTGTATCTAATTTGGCATAGATCTTCCCTCATCTGCGAGCTGTGTATGCTTCTGACACTATCTTGGAAATAAGAAAGCAAACCGTTCTTCCCATTTTATGTTTGAGGGAACAAATGTCTTAAAATCTGATTGGCTGAGAAAGGCAGCCAGTGGAATTTGCAATAATGCCAAGGCCTAACTGCAGGTCTTCTAACTCCCTGTCTCCACTCTGTCTTCTAGGTTTCTGGGGAACATTTGACCTGAAAACCCTATTTTAGAACATAAGCCCAGACATTTAGAGAAACAGAACTGGCCCCTTTTGGGTTCGAAACTCCTGTTTTGTGCTAGCTTTTGAGATCATATTCATATGTGGGATAGCGATGTGTATAATTAAACTTGGGGACAAATTAAGTGCAGTTGGAGTAGCATGCAGTACATATATATGCTAAGATGTTTGACAAGTTTAACTTACTAAGATACATTGCCCATTAAATGCAGTGACTGTCATTTAATTTTGAGCATTAGCTTTCTTGTTTGCAAGTACAGGGATTTTAACAACCATTGTACTTTCAACTGTTGCTGCCAGTAGCTAACATCTGAGTGTTGCACAAGCCAAGTATTCTCCTAAGCATTTCACGTGGATTCTTTTTTATTTTCACAATAACCCTATGATATATAGATGAGAAAACTGAGGCACAAAAAATTAAGACTTTGCCCAAGGTCAGATAGCTATCAAGGGGCAAGCTGATTTTTAGCCTTAAGCAGTGTGACTCCAGAAACTGGGCCCTTTACTATAACATACTGACTCTCACTGCATGCATGTGTATGTGTGTTGATGGTAGTAGCATCCTTGAAGTTTTTCCATATAAGAAATGCTGAAGTATGATGGAAACAGAGTAATTTATTACATGAGTATATGGTTTTTCTAATACTTCTATACTTTCTATAATGAAAAATTATAAATCTACTCAGTAAGGAAAATGGAGAAAAGAAGAAAAATCCAAACCACCCCTAGCCCCAGAACCCAAATAAAACCTTTATTTACCTTTGGATAAATCTGTTTTCAATCCATTTTTGTAATGCAAAGATTTTTTCTCTTAATTGTATTTATACTTAAATCATTTCAATTACAAACTTCCATGTATCTAGTATTTCAGTAAGAGTTGTGGGGGATGTTAAGATCTGTGCCATAAAAATTTAAAGGAGAAGGAGATCAAGACAGTTCTTAAAAGGAAGTTGGCCTTGAGGTGGATACAAATTGAGAAAGGGGTGTGACAGGATTTCAGGTTGGGAAGAAAGGAAGTTTGGAATTCTTAACTCAGGCTTGGGAAGTGGCCAGTAAACCAAAGCGCTCATGTTGTAGTGAGGTTTGAAATAAGGTTATAAAGATTCACAGACTGTACAGGCCGTTAGTTAATTTAACCAATAGCAGCCTACCTCCCAAGTGCCAGGTATTTTAGTAGATGTGTGGGACAAAGACCTGGGGAAGAGAGCGGGGCCTGTCCAGGAAGGGTCATCCAGACGGGAGCCAAACATGTGGAGTGCCAAATCTACCTCCTGCAGTGATGGAAGACAAGATGGGAGGTCAGGAAAAGCCTTAGGGAAGAGAAGGCCCTCGCACTTGGGTAAGACTTGCCAACTGGAGGACTACAGGAGGATGGCATTTCAGGCAGAATAAAGTGAGGGCATGGGGGCATGCAATAAACAGCTTGCTTAGAACAGTCAATGTTCATTATAGCTGGAGCTGGCAGCGGGTGGAGGAGGGGACTGAAGAAGCAGGGCCAAATCAAGGGCGCTACATATACTATGCTAAGACATTTGAACTTCATCTTTTAGTGCGGAACTATTAGAGAGTTTTATTTTTTCTTACTGAAAAATACATTGTGGATAAGGTGAAGGTTCCCATGGCCAGGATCCTCACCTGGCCCTGATCAGCTTGCTCACTACACACATGTAGGCAATAGATTGTTACTGACTCTATATCGAGCTCTGCCCAGTGCTCTGAGCAACTCTGTGGCATGGCTGCACAGCTGCAACGCTGCAGGAGAGCAGAGACTGGAGTGGTGGCAGCGCCAAGGACAGAGACTGTGGCATGGCTGCACAGCTGCAACGCTGCAGGAGAGCAGAGACTGGAGTGGTGGCAGCGCCAAGGACAGAGACTGAGACAGCTGCAGGGGTAGAGAGGCCCAGAGGCAGAGACCAGCTTGCTGTGTGCAGACTTGCTCTGAGTGGACGGGATTCTAGTGATTGATCTGCCACCATGGGAATAAAGCTGGGTATAAACCAAGAGCGTTCCATTGTCATTCTTTGGTCTCATTGAATCCATAGTGAACTTGCCCAGGGCTGAAACCCATTGGTAAGACATACGTAGACATTACTAATTTTATAAGTAGTTAAAAACATAAATTCATTATTTTATAGTTCTGGAGGTCAGAGGTTCAAAATGGGTCTCACTGGACTGAAATCAAGATGTTGGCAGGGTTGCATTCCTTTCTAGAGGCTATAGGCAAGAATTATTTTCTTACCCTTTCTAGCTTATAGAGGTCGCTCACCTTCTTGGCTCAGGCCCCCTTCCTCCATCTTTAAGCCAGTCAAGTATTTCTCACATCTTATCACTCTAACCTTTTCTGTCTCCCTCTTCCACTTTTAAGGATCCTTGTGATGATACTGGGCCCACCCAGATAATGCAGGTTAATTTCCCCAAATCAAGATCAGCTGATTGGCAACCTTAATCTCCCGTATTTACAGGTTCCCAAGATTGGGTCATGGACATTTTTCGGGGGTCATTATGCCCAATACAGATAGGAAAACAGGAGTAGTGGGGTTAGGGAACTTGCCCAGGATCACACAACTAGCTGGTAGTAGAACCAAGAATAACATTGTTTAATTCAAACAGTAATTCATTTTTTTAAAAGGCAATAGAATGTTTCTGTAATCTCATTTCTAAAAGATTAAGAGTTTGAATATTCTTCCAAGTTTTTCTCTATATGGATAGTTCAGCTGTACACTCCCCTTCACCCATTAATATGGCAACTAAAAGCAAAATAACAAGTGTTGGCAAGGATGTGGGGAAACAGGTTGGTGAGGATGTAAAAGGTGCAGCTGCTACAGAAATCAGTTTGGAGCATCCTCAAAAAATTGAAAATAGCAATTGATCCAGCAATTCCACTTCTGGGTATATACCCCAAAGAATTGAAAGTCTCAAAAAGATACTTGGACACCCATGTTCATAGCAGCATTGTTCACAATAGTCAAAATCTGGAAGCAATCCAAATGTCCATTGACAGTTGAATGGGTAAACAAGACGTGGTAGAGATATACAAAGAAATATTATTCAGCCTTTAAAGGTAGAAAATTTTGATACATGTTACAACATGAATGAACCTGGGAGACATTATGCTAAGTGAAATAAGCCAATCACAAAAGGATAAATATGATCCCACTTACATGAAGTTCCTAGAATAGCCAAATTCATAAAAGCACAAAGTAAATTGGTAGATGGCAGTGGCTGGGGAGTGAGGGACTAGGAAATTAGTGTTTAATGGGTACAGAGTTTCAGTTGGGGAAGATGAAAAGCTCTGGAGATGCATGGTGCTGTTGCACAACAATATGAATATACTTAATGACATTGAACTATACATTTAAAAATGGTTAAGATGGTGAATTTTATGTAATTTTTTACCTCAAAAAAGAAAAAACACGTTAAGGGAAGAAAGGATGGAATGACATGCAAAAGGCAGGAGGTTACATGCTTATTGCTTCACTAGTGGACTGTGCTATTTATTCTCTTCCCTTTGAGAAGCCAGATTTTACCAGGGGAGACTTCCAAGAGAAAGATGGTGATGGTTTTGTTTGTTTATTTATGCAGTGTATCTTCAGTTGATTATTAACAGACTGCCTGTGGCAGGGATTGAAGTCTATTTTACAACGGCAGGGTAACCCTTAGCGGTTCCCAGAGATCTTGAGCTCTGCCTCTGAGTTTCAGGTATCCAACAAATGTTCAAGGATCTAATGGAAGGATCCGAGTTACTTTATCTGACTTGTGTCTTGTGAGCCAGCCCCACCCACCCATTCCCAGGAATGTCATCTTTTTAAAAATTGAATTTGACAATTACATAGTGCTTACTGTATGCCAGAGGCTGTCCTAAAAAGCTTTTCATATATCGACTAATTTAATTCTAACAACCCTTGAAGTACTATCATTCCCCATTTTACACACGAGAAAACTGAGGCATGGAGAGATAAAGTTATACAACTCAATATTAAGTGGCTCAAACTGAAACACCTTATGGCCCCGGGGCTCATGATCGTAATCGTTAAGCTCCCCCAGTAGTGTGCCATGCTGGGACTTCGCTGACCCTGAAGTGGATCACAAGGTTCGGAATGGAGAATGGAAACTGGGGAAGTTATCCTTGATTATGATCTTGCCTCGCTGAGCCAACAGCGGTTGGCCAAGTGAGCGCTAATGCTGAAGCCCGGGGAAGGGGCTTATGGGTTTAGGGTCAACATATTTGAACCTATGAAGTTTCCCTCCAATTCTGAAGCAGCCCCTTAGTGACGAATCAGCTGCCTATCTCACACGATTCGCTGTTAGTGGAGTTTCTAGATAATCAAGGCAGGAGAAATAAAATATTATTAAACTAATACTAAATGACACTGAACCCTATTTTATTCTTTTTTTCTAGTCGTTCCAAGATGCGACCCAAGACGAATCTGCGACTCCGGAGTAGAAACCGGGGGGAGCGGGCCGAGTAGCGACCATTTTTGTTTTGCGGCTGTGCATTCTCAGAGTATCTTGACTAACAGGACCGAACCGAGGAGGTGGGCCTATCAGCGAGAGAGGCGGGGCCTGAGGGACGTGATGATTCAAACAGACTAATGAGCTCCGCGCATCTGGCAGAAGCCGCCAATGACCAGACGCGCTGGGGCGGAGCCCACGGTCCCCAGTGGGTTTGGTTGCACCGCGGCTTTGGCGCATTTTCGGCTGGTTTGATTCATCCATTTTGAAGAGACGGGGGAGCGGGGGGCTCGTCTGATTAAGGGGCCCTGAACCAAGGAGCGGCGGAGTTTCAGAAGCCAGCAGCTCAGGGTTCGGTGGCAGCGGCCCCATCGGCCGAAGTTGGGGGGGGTGGGGCGCCCAGCGCGCGGGGTGGGGGGGGTCCAGGTCTTTGGCTTCTCGACTCGGTCCTGTTTCGACAGCGAACATGTCTCGGCCTGTCAGGTCAGTGCGGAGTCCGAGGCCTGGAGCGGGTTGGTGGCGGTTGGGGGTGGGTAGTGAAGGTGGGGGGATTGAAGCCTAGAGTCGGCCCTCTTCTGTGCCACGCGCGGCCTCCTCCCTGTCGAGATCCGCGCGCGCCCATGGGAGTCGGAGGCGGGGGGGGAGGGTGCTTGCTGGCGCACGGGGCTGCGCGGGGGTGGCGGCCGCGCGCCCATGCGCGCGCTCTTCCCCGCCCCGCGCCGCTGCAGGGCTCCGGGTTGTTCTGCGGCCTCCCCCACCCGCCGCACTGGGGCGGGCGGGGTGTTCCCTGAACCGCCCGCGGCCGGAGGGGGAGGGCTTGAAGTCAGGGCCCCCACCCAGGCTCCACCTCCTCGGGGTCAACCTCTCGGAGCCCGCAGGGGAGACCGGCGCAGTCCGAGTCGAGCTCGCCTCCCCACCTTAAGTTTGGAGCGGAGGAGACGCCCGTACAGCCCCTTCCCCATTGGCTTGCGTGGGGGACTCAACCCTCTTTCTCCAGCGGACGGGGGTGCTCTACGCAAAGGGGGTGGGGCAGTACTGCCACGGCCCCGCCTCCGTCCACCGGGGTCGCCGCAGAGCCCCGCCTCCCCCGTCGGACAGGCGTGGGCGGGACCCGTTCTATTCCCCTCGGGCAATAGTGAGAGTTCGGTTCGCGGCCCAGGGAAGGAGTGCCTGCTCCCTCTGCCCAAAGTCGGAGCTCCGGGCGGTTAGTCCCCCGAGTTCGCTGTTTTCCTTCGACGCGAGATGCCCTTTCTCGGGGAAATGCCCCTACTCAGGGAGGCGCGGGTTAACAGCACGACCCAAATCCCGTGTGGTTCTCGCTCCCGCTACCTCTCGCTGCTGTCACCCGGCGTACAAGTCCCCGATGTTTTTGTAACCCTTCTTTCCCCCAAATAACTTTAACAATAAAGGGGCTAGATTTAGTTAACCAATAGACGTTATTCTCAGAATTTCAACAAGTTTGCTGTTCCCCAGCGGACGGTGGAATCGCCCTTTGCCGTCCTCCTGGCTATTGTATGGAATGTGCCATTTATGGAGGGGTGTGGCTTGATCCAATAGGTCGAGGCCTTAGGAAGGGGAACTTTTGCAAATACTACTACTTCCAATGTCCATTTCGCTTTTCGCTCTAAGGAATTGTCTACTTTGATAGTTTTTTCTGGATAAATAGGGGTTTGGCTTTAAAATGCTTTTAACAGTTGTGATTCCTCTTCATTCCAAGATTTGTGAGAAACGGAAGTATTTTGACTTAGAATTCTAAAAGAGGTTTGAAAGCCCGGAAAGGGTTTTGTTACACACCATTGCGTCTCTTGACTAGATCATCCGTCTCCAACTGGTGGTGTGTATGGGACTGCATACTTCTTCGCTGGGGGTGGGCATGATGAGAGTGCTAACTACCTGACTGCTTTCCTGCCTTCTAATTTCAACACGCATCTCTGATAACCCACCGGGAAGAGTTTGCCGACTTTTGGCAAGGAGTCTGAATACGTGTTTCGGGATATAGTATGCATACTTTTCTTGGCATAGAAATTGACCGGTGTATCCCGTTATTTTATGTAGACTATTTTCTTTAGGGTCAGGTCATACAATATCATAATAAAGATTTGCTTCTTCTGGATTGGATCATCTGTCCCCGGAAGAAAATCACTGTGTGGTGAAATTGGACTATTATTTTTCTCTACCTTTTAATTTAAGTTCACTGGGTTTTGATTTTTTTATTTTGTTGTGACTTTCATATACTCATCTGCCTGAATTTGTGTTCCCAGATCTGCGTAATGGAACAAGAACAGAGCTATTTTTTTAACTTGAAAACCTTGACTTTAACTATCATTCATGGGGTTAAGTATATTAAGCACATTCTTTTTTTTTTTTGAGGCATACGGGTTTCTGGATAACTTTTTTTCTTGCTCAATATGTTGTTAAAAAATAATTTTAACTGTTTATTTGCCCCGAATTGGAGAATGAAGTTAATGTTACGGGCTTTTTTTGGTCACTTTTATATTAATTTCAAAGCAAGTTGGTTTCTGATTATATATTTTAGTGATAATATAACTTTGTAACTATCTCTTTTAACTTTTTAATATATTCATGACCAATAATAAAGCAGAAATAATTAAACTTGAGTTTGGTGGTTTGTTAAATTTTGCAATAAAAAAAGCCATCTAGGGAAATGCATTTGTTTCAAGATATAATTGGAGAAGTTATATGCCTGAGGCCATTTAACAAAAAGTTAAAAATGATAAGACATGGGCCCAATATCAGAATGATCAGCCTTTTGATCAGTCCCCCCCAAAAAAACACGTGTTGAGAAATAACAAGTGTCAGCACATCCTCTTTTGGGGTATGTTTCTGCTTTTAGGCCTACATATAATTTTGAGGTTTTTCTGGTTTTCATGTTCGTAAATATTTCTCGTTTTCGTTTTTATATTAACCTAAACATTTAAAAAAGATTTAGAAATTTACACATGGCTGCCTGGCACTAATTTCCAAAATGAAGGGAAGGCAGAACTTCAGCTACAACAGAGTTTTCCGTAGACGTTTGTGCAACACCTAAAGTAGTTTTGTTTGTACACTATTGCTCTCTACCTTTTACAGTATCTGATTCATTGTATATGAATGAGAGCTTGAATATTTTAGGCCTCGGATCCAAATTTATAGCATAAAGTGGCAGTCTTGGAGCTAAAGAAAAATTTAGGCAAATGTGTTTTACAAATGACTTAATGGGGATCTGGACAAGTGAAATGCCTTTGATCAAACACTACTAGATGCCAAGATAGGTCCCAGAACCTAGATTTCTTAATTCCCAGTCCTGCTCATTCTCAACTTCCCTTTCTGCATAATAGTTGCCTTGCCTTATGCCTGATAAGTATTGATGTTACTGTAGTGTATGGCACTTTTAACTTTACAAAGTGCTTTTATGATTCTTATCCTTGTGGAAAAAGAAGGAAAAATGCTATTCCCTCAAAAAGGTTGAGAAAGAAAGTTCAGAGAGATTTACTGACTTGCCCAGAATTAGAAAACAGGTTTCTTAAAATTTGGTGTGGTATATTATCCAGAGATGCTCCTGTTAAAAATGATCCAAGTCACTCAGATCAGCAATCTGTGATTTTTTTTTTGTAACATGTACCTTGTCTTCTTTTGTTTAGTGCGTAAGATTGTAAGGAACCTGTATCACTGAAGAAAGTTGAAATGTGAAAAGCATAGGCTCATGCAGATTGATACAAAATTATGTTTTGTCATATTTATAATTATGTTGAGAATTAACAGCTTTCCCTAGATGTCAGATTGCTTTCTTTTCAAAGAGAATTTTGTTTCTGATGTGTCTGGATTCTAAAAATCAATATTCTCACTTACCAAAAAATTAATTTTAAATGGTCCTCACTTAAAGAGCAAACTTGGAAACCTGAAAAGTTGAGATAGGATGGAATGTATGATACCAAGTTATACACTGGAAGACACTGATTAGTTTAGCACCCTGCAACATGTGGTTGTGGGTGAGTGGTGTCCTCTTAGTCTCTCCATTCTCAGATTTGTGTGTGAGAGAGAAGTGTGCTTTTATTAACGCTTCTCTGTACATGTGGATCTGTACATTTTGTTACTTGTCATAAACTTGTATAGACTATCTTCAAAGATAATCACATAATTGGAAAGGCTGAATGGGGGGGGTTATAGCAACACTTGAAATACTCAACATTTCCCCAATATACAGGTATTAAGATGAAAATTATAATACAATGTTTAAAATGTGATTTTTTTAGTAATTTACTGAACAAATGTTTACTGAAAAATAAGCAGTCTGGCACTCTGCTAAAGGCTTTCACTTTATCTTGTTTTATTATGACAACTCTGTAAGGTAGGATTTTTTTTAACCTATGTAACAATTGACAGAATAAGCTTAAAGAGTATGTTACTTAAGTTCAAATAACTATTAAAACAGCCAAGATTTGAACCCAGATTTTCTGAATACAAAGCTGGCATTTTTTTCCATGGTACTGCTCTAGTATTTGGCCTAAAGACAGTCAAATGTTTTTTATTTAGTAATCTCTTCTGTGGTGAGTATATTCTGTGTACATAACTCTGTATAGGAAATATTTTAGTGAAAATATGGCCCAGGTGTTTGGTTTTAAATAGGAGCAGTTCAACTCAAAATAATGTTCAGAGATACTTTTTTAACTAAAAGTTACCTTTTTTTTGTTTTTCTGTTAAGAAAACTAAAACTTCAGAGATTTGGTCTAGTTCCTTCAATTTACCAGTGATAGCTTTGAATTCAAAGGAATTGAAGTGTAGAAATAACAGCAAATCTATTTAGATGACATGAATTTTATCTAGTCTCCTTTCTACTAGATTTTCATTTACTTTGATTCCTCATATAATGTATTACAGGTCACAGTCTCTAATGTGAAACTCTTGGGGCCATGTGTGTTTAGAAGTGCAAATATTTTCAGATTTAAAAAGGTGACAGGGCACCTACTGTGTATTAGTGGGTGTGCCCTGTCACCATGAGCCTGGGGTATCGCTCTTACAATCAAACATGATAAATACCCTGTGGCAAAACTTAATGAATTTTCAACATTTAAAAAAAAAAGTCACTCATTATTTAGGTCAAGTCAGGTTCACATCATACAAATTATGAAAAAACTTGGATTTCATAACTTCTTAAATTCCCTAATTGTGGATTAGAGATTGTGGACTTTTAACAACAGAAGTCCCTTTCTCACTCAACCTTAGGAAAAAATGACACCCGAGTTCAGTGGAGCTATCACCAAGCAACTCTTTCTGCCAAATACTCTGCCAGGCACTTTACATGTAATATCACAATTTTGACACAACTCTTCCAGAAAGGTGTATATTACCCTCATGTCATATGTGAGGTAGCTGAGGCTTGTCTAAATTAAATTGGTCCAGGCCACCTAAGTTAGACAAAGCAAGTGTGGTCCTTGCCAGGAGCCGCTGCCACACGGGGTGACTGCTTCTGGTAGTGCCCTTGC